TACTGCTTTCGCAGCTCCACATTCCACAGCAGTTCCCGAACACCACGAGCACACAGAAATGAGAACGAACACGATGTGCCAACACAAGAGACGAGACACAAGACACTGCGGACCCGCTATCGCCTGAAGAAGAACACAAGACAATACAACTTGACTTGCATTTGACACGAATATAGTAGTTTAGCCTCATATGTTTATGCTTGTAGTCTTAATGATTGTAGTCATGCTGTATGCGCTATGTGTTACCAATAAACATGTAACCTACCACTTGAACTACCAAAACCTCATTTGAACCGTGATGCAGTTCAAAACAGGTAGATCTAGTACGATTACCAGTACAATCTCACGAACGAACCAGTCTTTCTCGAACCAGTACGATTTTGCACAACCTATGAGCCAAGTAGTCTGATTCCCCCAGTCCTCAATAATCAAGCGGCACATGAGATATACTCAAAATCCCTGAGATCGGGTAGGCGTGGCCGCATGCTTCAACTTAACCTAGGTGTCTATGCTTCTGGTGAGATATTTTCATCTTGACACAATTGTTGTCGTGTCTCTGTCCAACACAGAACAAGATGACAGACTGGAATATTCCACGAGTAACCAATTCCGTGCCATGTTCAAATGCCACGCCTACTCTGGCTCAGGGATAAGGAGTGTATACTATGTGCTAGTCGTGGCCCTCGCCTCGTCGAAACACTGCCTCTCCTCCTTTAGGGGCGCTTAACCTTGCTGAGAAATGAGGAGAACAAACCATCTCCGTTTCAAATTCACCACGTTCCAAAACTTCACCACTTTTCAAACCATAATCAAGCCTTTCAAATCAAATTCGTAACTTGGCTGAACATGCCACACTAGACCTTGTTGCAGGCCCCCGCCCCGATGGTAACCTAACATTTCAGCGTGGCTATGATTTTTGAAATTTCATTTGAAACTTCTACTTCCTCTACCTCTACTCTGTGACTTTCATCCTTTCTCGTTACTTCACACGATTGCTGAAAACGACTTACATCGACACACCGCTCTATTGCTAAGGAATTTGTTTTAGAATCTGAATTTTCATAACTTTTTCAAATTCATTAATTTCACTT